AAAAAAAAAAAAAAAGAGTTCCAGCTAGATACACAGCAGAGTATGCTTATAATCCCAGCATTCTGGGAGACTGATTCAGGAGGATCACAAATGGGCAACTTTGAGACTTATCAAGAACCTGTCTCAAAAAGTAAAGAGGTGGGGGATGTAGCTCAGTGCAAAGGTCCTGGGTTCAAACCCCAGAACCAGTAAATACTTAAATAAAAAATAAACAGGCTGGGCTAGGGAGATAGCTCAGCAGCATAAGCACCTGCTTGGCAAGCGCAAGGTTCTGAGTTAGATTCCTAGTAACTAAATAAATAAATAAGTAAACAGGCTGAGGAGATAGCTTAGTGGTATAGCTGTGTCTGAGTTAATACCTACTTCTAAAAAAGAAAAAAAGATACAAAAAAGGTTCTAATATTGACTCATCTTCAGTTTTCTGAAACCTTACTGTATGTCAATATTATTCTTTTAATATGCTACTGTTTGGTTTCCTACTGTGATACCTTTTTTTTTTTTTTTTTTTTTTCCACAACTGGGATTGAACTCAGGCCTTTGTGCTTGCCAGGAAAGCACTTATTCCAGAGTCATGTCCCCGGCCCCCCTACTGCAACACTACACACATTCATATCTCTGTTCAGAAGTAATCATGATCTCTAGTTTCCTTCTTTTATCTTTGTGACCATTTGAACATTCAAGTTGACCTCATACAATGAGATTTAAAGTCTTGTTTCTTACACTTTGAAAGCACATAAAAGTCATCTATTCTGGGCCGGCCGCCAGACAGCTCAGCAGACTGTTCGATACCCAGCATACCATGCTGGCCCCACCCCCAGGGCTCACTGAGCTGGTGACTGAGACGGGGTGTGGTGGCACATCTGTAATCCCAGCACTTGGGAAACTGAAAACAGGAGTATCGCTACAAGTCCAATCTGTGTAGAGAGACCCTGTAGACCCTGTACTAAATACATTTTAAAAAAAAAAAAAACCTTGGGGCCGGGGAGATAGCTCAGTGGAATAAGTGCTTCCCTGGCAAGCGCAAGGGCCTGAGTTCAATCCCCGGTTCCGCAAAAAAAAAAAAAAAAAAAACTTATTCCTTGAAGATTTTACCAAATTAGCGTAAAACTTAGTGAGCCTTGTGCCCTGAGGGCTTGAGGAAGAGAAGGGGATCACTGGCAATCTTTTCTAGGGTTTCTATGCAGATTGATAGATAGTCCATCTCTTTTCAAACCACAGTAAGCATCAGAAGCGTAACCACAGCTTAAGTAGAATGTGCAGAGGAACGGCCACAGGAGCTGCCATGGAACTGCACATCATGGGAGTGATAGGGATGGGATCGTTGGGAGCACTGGGTTTGGAGGGCTCTCACAGGTTGTGATGTCAGGGGGAGCATAGCTGTCACTCAGGTAGGCATTGCTGGGCTTGGCCACCTTTAGGTAGACAACATCATACGTGTTCTTCAGGGCTGCCACAGCATCCTCATGCATGACGTCCTCCAGCCCCACACTGTTGACCTGGGATCAAGGGAAGCAAAGCTCAGACATAGTAAGAAACAGACAGAAAGCAGATACCCTGAAGGAGGTAAAAACCCTGATGCTCCCAGGGCCTGTGGGTGAGATCCAGGGTTGGGGTAGAAATGTGTGGTAGGTCCTCACCGCCAGGATCTTGTCTCCAATCTGCAACCTCCCATCCTTATGGGCGGCACCCCCTTCGATGATCTTCGTTACATAGATGCTGTTATCTCCAGGGATATGCTGGTTTCCTACACCCCCTGCGATGCTGAAGCCAAGACCTGAATGCAGGAAAGTACAGAGGTGTGCCCAGGTGCCTGGGAGGGAGCAAGACAGTTGGGATGGAGTCAGGAAAAAGTGGGTCACTACCTTTAGGCCCCTTGATGAGCTTGATCTCCATGACCTTCTCAGCTGGGGGCTTCCGGCGCATGACATAGAGGCGCACGATGGAGCCTGCCTCTTTGAGGGCTTCCACCGCAGCTGAATGGGTCACCTCCCGCACATCCACCTCATTTACAAAAAGGATGCTGTCGTTGACCCTGGGAGCAGCAAGCTGGGTCTAAGCCAAGAGCTTCCTGCTGCCCTGGTCCTCCCTTTCAGGAACTAGCTTTCTAACCCCTGTCTCCTTTTCCCACCTGAGACGGCCATCCTGAGCTGCAGCCCCACCAGGAATGATCTTGGTGATGAAAATGGACGGGTCGTCACCAATGTGCGGGTTGTCAGTGCCACCTGCGATGCTGAAGCCCAGACCTGAGTTACCCTGAAAAGGAAAGTCAAAAGATCAGCTCCCCTCTCTGCCACTTCTGGCAAGGCTAGTGATGAAGGGAATAGCATGGAATAGCATGAGAAGCTAGAAAGGAGAGTCTGCCAGAACACAAAGGGACATGGCTAAGGGGCTGGCCCCCAAGAAAACAGGCACACACAGACGCAAACAGGGAGCCAAAGGGACCTGGGATGGAGGCGATGACTCACCCTTTCCAATGTAATTTCCTCGTATTCCATCTCCCCCTCAGTCCCATTCACCTGTAACTCCAGCACGGGAGAGAAAAACAGAAACAGTGAGACAGGCATTCCAACCCAAGAGTATGTGCCTTCTTTCCCTGGCCCTCCCTTCCTCCCTTCTTCTACAATGATCCAGCCTCAAAATCTAAACAACTCACATATCCTGGGGCTTCTAGGGTGTCTGTGTTGACAATCACAGGAGGAGAATTGGCCTACAAGGAAAGACAAGACACGAAAAGCTGCCTGAGCCTTGGCTCCAAAGGGAGACCATAATGAGGGTGGGCCCACCAGTCTCACCCCCTTCTCAGCTAATTAGCCAAAGCCACTCTAACATCCTTAGGGCTCCTCAAGGATCCAGCGTCCATCCACATCACACACACACACACACACACACACACACACACACACACAGATGCACACGTGCACGGATCCAACTCTGCCCAGCCCAGGCCCCCTCATGTGGAAGGAGGTGTCTGAGAAGCTAGAAGGGAGAGACAGCCAGACGGAGAGGGGAGCAGCAGATGGTAAGGGGGGGGGTGATGGGGGGGAAAGGGAGCTTCTCACCGGATATAACACTACAGGGTGTTACATGTCTTCTGTGCTACACACGTATACCCCGGGGCTCATGTCCACCAAGTCTTCCTCTCCCCCTTCCTGCTCTCCTTCTCTGTCCCTATGCCCCCACCATATTTACTCAGATAGGTCTATAATCCTACCCCAGATTTCTCCCTCACCTTCGTACACATTTACCCTGAAACCTCTGACTGGCAATCCGGGATTTCCCCAATTGAAGGCCCCTCCCTCCTCTCACCCACCAAACGCTCTACCCTTCCTCCCGAGACTCTGTTACCTAGCAACAGTATCCACGACCAGCCAAAACCTGAGACCCACCCCCTGCAGGTCCTGTCGTCAAGACAACAGGCTAGAGGCGTGGCCTAGGAGCAACCCAGCTCCCAAAGGGCTCCCCCTAGGCCTGCCCCTCCGGCCCTGTGCGCCAGCCCCCCCCCCTCGCTAGCCGGGCCCACAGGAGGGCCGGCACAAGAGGTTCGCAGGAGTGGCACGTCCTGAATACTTTGTCTTTCACTCTCCCTAGGGCCCCTCACCACTGAACGACAAGGGGGGGGAGTGGCGAAAGACATCCGGGTCTTAGCCTCCTTTATCTACTCTTCCCTACCCCCCAACTTATTTAGGAAAGGGTTAAAATGAGGCGTGCCAAGGTCTGTGACGTCAGTCGCCTTGACGCAGCCCGACTCCCGGGCGGGGCAAGCTTTAGGCCGGTCCAAGGGGCTTCCCCAGTCGCCAAGGCAACTGAAGCCACGTCTCCATGGCAATTGGGTGGCCGCCAAGAACCTCCTTCCGGGGTCCCCAACCTATTTCCTTCTCAAATATTTATTTGGAGGAGAGCAAGGGCAAGGATTCCCCAGTCTCCTTAGGCTCTCCCCGTACAAAGGGGTCTCTCCTCACCTATTTCTCAATCTTACAAACTACTAGCCACTTTTCAGGCTCTATAATAGATTTCTTAACAGTAATTTTAATAATGCTACCCCCAGCCTGCATCTCAGTAAACGCTGTTGCCCAGCCAACAGCCACTGACTGCCAAAACCTCATCCACAAGTTCAACCTACATTGCATACTCCATCTTCAATCATCCTGATCCTAGAACATCCCCCATGCCCAATCTTGTATCACATTCCTCCAGATCTTCTCCCCATCCCACACCCTCCAACTAGATCCCTATCTCCATCTTCAATTTTCATAACCCAACCCCAGCTCCCATACATCAGTTTCCTGTTAGATCCTACCCCCATCCCATTCCTTATTAACCTCTTGTTCTAACCCAACATCATCCCAATTTGATTCTCCAGCGAAACCCTCATCTTACTCCCTTACCCTATCTTCAAACCCTCAAGAGTCTCTCCTCAAATCAGCCCTTCACTTCTCTCCTCAAATCAACCCACTTGCCATCTCCGCTGAAAACTGGGGCTTCTAGTTTCTCAGCTTTGGGAGGCCTGGCTTATCCTGAGAGGTCCACAGTCACTGATGGCCTCCAGCATTGTCCTCTCACTCTCATCTGTTGTTTCCTGAGCTCAGCCCCAGCATGTACTACTTACCACCCCTCAAGCCTCCCTTCTCTGTCCTCCTCCCCCTCCCCAAGGCTTAATAGCCCTGTCTTGCAAAGGCATCTGCGATCTTCCTTCATTCTTTGCAGCCACAGAGCCACAAATAAATACTCAAAATCATTCCCATTTCCACAGCCTCTGCCTTCCTCTTAACCACCAGCTCAGACCTCTGTCCAGAGGTCACAACCTCATCCCTGTCAGTTCTGTGTCCCAAGACCTTCACCTTTCCTATCACCCTCCAACTCTTCCCTATCACTTCTAGCCCAGGGTCTGCTGTAGTCCCCTCCCCACTTCTTGCTGAAAAGCCAGCAATTTTCCCCCTTCCTGGGGCATCGGACAATGCTGAACTTAGTGTCTCCTCAGTCTCACTGCTTGACTGGTACTCTCCATTTCTCCTCTTCCTCTGTGCCCAGAAGAGGAGGCTGAGGTGGAAGATGGAAAGTGGACTTGAAAACCAAGGGTCTCAGAAACAAGGCCTTCGGGCTGGCTGGAGAAGGGAAAGCACACAGTGAGAATAAAGGATTAGGGGAAACAGGTGGTGGTGAATAATAATGGGGAAAGGGTTGAGGTGAGCCCAAGAGGAAGAGAGAAGAGAGAAGCTGAGAAAGGAGGAGTTGGCTGACCTACAGAGAGGACCTATCCGGCCGCAGAGGCCTGAGCTGGGGATCAGCGAGAGGGGGAAGGAGGTGCGTGGGAGGAAGAGAGACACAGCATCAAGAACCAGCCAGCCAGCCAGCGGGGAAGAAGAGCTTGGAGGGGGAGGGAGCACAGGAGGACAGCAAAAGCCGGGCAAGGGAAGAGGCAGAACAGCCCCACAACGTGAAGTCAGGCCAGACAGATGGAAAGGGCTGGAGACTAGGGCCAGGGAGAGCAGAGCCCAGAGGCAGAGGTGGGGGAGGTGGCTGGGAAAGGACAGGAGCAAATGAGGGCAGCAGGAGCTTAGAACAGAGCTCTGGACACAGAAAACAGAAGGGGAGGTTGGGGTGTGAAGGAATTTCGAATGAGGCTAAGGTATCGGGGCTTCCAGGGGGATAGACCCATCTCAACACAGGCACACAGTACATCACACACACACACACACACACACACACACACACACACACACGGATGCTTGGACTTTAGACCACAAATGTTTCCAACACTCCTCCCCCACCACCCCTTTCCCCAGGCCCCAGGAGCCCCAGCCCCAGATGCACTTCCAAGCTTTCACCCCACAGCTCTTGCCCTACCGGCCCTTGGGAGTTGCTGCAGCTCCAGGTTCCGAGGGTCGCACTGGGGAGGGGGCCACCAGGGTCTCCTACCTTGAGGGGGGAGAGGTGGGCGTGGCCCACGACCCCATGGACGGCCTCGAGGTGGGACAAGTTCCTCTCCGCCACGTGCACCAGCTCGGGGGCGTTTACCTGGTTGGGGAGGTGGGCCGGGCTGTGCTCCAGAGGGGGCGTGTCTTCATCTTGGTAGCGGTATTTCTGGGTGTGGGGACGGGGTGTCACCGGGCAGGCCCAGTGCCTCAGGCTCCAGTCAGCCCGCCTGGGCCGCCTCCTCTTCCCCCAGCCAGTGCAGTGCAGAAGGCCCTGGGGCCTAACCAGCTCCTCCCCATCCCTCTCCTCCAGCCCATTGGCTCCCCTCTCTCCACCCTCCCAACAGCCCCTTCGCTGCCAGGGCCTCAGCACCTCTCATCTCGCCCCAAGCCCCATCCCCTTTCTCTAATTCTAACTCCCCACATGCCTGGGCCCTGGTCTTCTATCAGCATCTCTCTTCCTTAGCATCTCTGTCTTTACCCCTTTCCCAGCCTTTCACCCTCTACTACCTCTACCCTTCAAAAGCTCTAGCCTCTGACCTATCTCCACAACCTATTCTCCACTCCCAACCCCAACTTCTCTGCTTCTCTAAGGCTTCCCTTCCTGTACTCCACTTGCTGCTCCTACTCTGCACCCCACCTTCATTCCTTCAGTCTCCCCATTTCAACCACCACCCCAGGAGCTACTACTGGCTCTCCAGCACTCGTATGCCTGAGGGAAGAATCAAAGTCAGACCTTCAACTAGAAGGTACTTGGCATCAACACCCCCAGGCAAGGCAAAGTTAGGACTGTCCCACTAGTCCTTCACTGGCTTCACTAGTTCTCAAGTAGTCAGCAAAAGGGCCCCAGAACTAGCCCCAACCCCTGCATCCATCAGCCAGCAGCTCAGCCAGCTAATCCGGATATACTAGAAAGGGATGGATGAGATGAGGGAGGCAGGGGAGAACGCAAAAAGGCTCAGGAGGAGGCAGGAATAGACATCAGGCCCCCTGATTGGCAAAGAGAGTAGCATCGCAGTCTCAGGTCTCCCTCTGACCTTTTGGGATAAAAACCCAACATGTTCAGATTCTTCGCCCAATTAACCAGTTGCCATCTCAAGGGCCCACTATGCTAGCTTATAGGGACACCGGTAAAGGAGATTAACTATGAGCCAGAGAGACACAGCAAGGGCAGGTGGCAGCAGCACTGGATGACAACACATCTGCATGGCTCCTCCATCTCTACCCTCCAGTGCCCTTCTCCTCCTTGGGAGTTGTCCACTACAGCAGCAAAAGAATCCACTCTAGGCTCAGAGAAGGATGAAGAGATTACCAGACTCAGGGTTCCCTCAGGGGCTGAAGAAGTCAGAGTACACCCACTGGTACATTGGTAAAGAGGCAGAATTTCTCTCGGAGAAGTTTCTGAAAAGCTGAGAGTACCCAACATTTGGAAAGCAAGGGCTGCAAGATTAAACAGGAAAAAGGCTATCAAGTAGAATGCCTGATACTGCAGTATGATTCTGAAAATTCTGAGGCTGATGAATCAAGGCCAAGAATGGAACCCAATTCTGCTGTTGATTTAAGGGCACCTAAGACAGTAGAGTAGGGAAATGGTCCTGCCAACAGAAAGACACTGAATCCAGGGAACAAAGGCAACTAGAATTAAGCACCCTGACATGTTTAAAGAGCCTTTTAAAAAGAAAATATGGGCCAGGGCCTGAGTTTGATCCCTGGTTCCGCCAAAAAAAAAAAAAAAAAAAAAAAAGAAAGAAAATATGAGCTCATCAAGTCTGGGTCACAGTCAGACATGGTGGTGCATGCCTGTAATTCTAGCACTTCAGAGGCTGAGGCAGAAGGATCACTGTGAGTGAATTTGAGGCTGTGCTGGTTCCAAGGCCATGTTCACAGCCAAGGTGGACTAGATAGAAGACCCTGTCTCAAAAAAAAAAAAAAGGTCTGAGTCACAGATTTACAGAGTGAATACTGAGCTCCAGGGGTCAATACCACAGACACAAAAAGTGGAGAGGTAGAACAGCAAGCGGTCAAATAGCCCTCCTCAAAGGCCGAACTGTGGGGCTGGTGAGATGGCTCAGTGGTCTAAAGCACCTGCTTAGAACAAGCTAAGCTAAACAAAAGCACAGGGATTGCGGTTCAATCCCCAGCACCACATGCCAGCCAGCCCCGCCCCCTGGTGGGCTGAGCTGGCCACACACTAAATAAATAAATAAATAAATAAATTTAAAAAAAAAAAAGGCTGAACTGTCTTGGATAGCAATGTTAAGAACTGCACAAACTTGCAGATCCAAGTTCTAGAACCTGGGGAGAGTTGGAGTCCAGTGTTCCTCCATCTTCACCCCACCTACAGAGAAAATTCCTGAATGCGATGAAGAAATGTCAGGGTGCACCAAAAGAATGGGCAAATGATAAATTTTATCATTTATTCTAGAACAGTGAGACCCCCCCATCTTTCCCTGCCCCACCTCATACAGGGGAATCTGGCACTGAGAAAAGACTTTGGAGATTGGGAGACAATGTAAGAGAAATGGGAAACCAAGAATGAAGAGCCAAAGTTCCCAAGGTGTGGCTGGAGGAGGGCCTATGTTCAGTCTGTTTTGATGTACATGGGGGAGGGGGAGGTCCTGGAAAAGCGGGGTCAGGAAGGGCAATTCTGAAACTGCAGACTGGAGGTAGGGATATCAGCATCGCTCAGTCCTAGTTTACAAGGTAACTAAAGCAGACCGAGAAGATCCCCCTCCTTTAACCCAGTGGGCCTCAGGGCTCTGACAGTGACAACTAGGATGCTATTGGGATGAGTCTGAAACCTTCCATGTATTAGGGCCTGAGACAAGTAAAAGGCCTGGGGGTACACAGTTGCTCCTTCCCTCTCCTCTCATCCCACCAAGCGCCCGTTGCACAGAATAACATGGAACCGAGGTTTGCACCCCCAGAGGGATGTGAGTTAAAGTACATAAGGGGGCGACCCACTGAGCCTGTTTGCAAGAAGTTGCAACCCAGAGACCCCACGCCAAGCAGAGGGATGAGCGACAGCACTTGAAGCTCACACCCTGAGATTTGAGGGGTCCAGAAAGAGGGGAGCGGGGCCGGATCCCGGATCCCGTACCGCGGCACGTACCACGCAGAGACACATGGAGGCGAATCTGTTCCGAGCCGACATGGAGAAGGGGAGGGGAATTGAGGGGAGGGGAGAGGTGGGATACCAGGGTCCCAGGTTGGGGGAGGGGGAGGGGCAGAGGGGCGGGGGCTGCGGCGGCCGCGGCGACTAGAGGCTGCGGCCAAAGGGGGGGGGAGGCGCCTGCGCAGTACGGGAGAGCGTCACGGAGGGAGAAAGAGGGGTGAGGGGAGACCCTCTTGGCCACCAACTTCCCGGTTCACAGCTGTGGAATTCACCTTCCACAGTATACTCTTACTCTGACCTCTCTACAAAAATTTACCAATGTAGCTTTCTAGTTCTTAGGCATCCTTTATCCCACTTCCCTCAAATCACCAGGCGCCTTAACCATTCCAAAATTTCACACGATATCTAATCATTACTGTATTCTCAGGGTACAGGGAAGGAATCAGCATTTCTCCTTCATTTTCAAGAACCCCAAAGGGATCTAAAATATCTCTTGCCCCTGCCCCCCAGCCCAAGACCGGGAAGCTGAGATACCAAGACATTTCCTACTCTACCTGGCACCGTTCTCCCCTGTGGTCCAGTCCAACATGCTAACCAATGTCTCTTTTAAAGAGTTTAAAGAACCACACATCCTAGCTGTACACTCAAACTCATATACCCCTTAAGTCATCCCTTTCTAAATCATATTTATTTATCCCAAATCCACTAGTACAGACCTTGAAATTAGTGCAAATATTACTCTTGCACTAATATAAAAATCCAAATAAGGAGTCTTCAAATTTGTTTGGAGGTCTCTGTCCAAACCTCTGAATCAAATAATTCTCTGGACTTTTAAATACGCCAGTCCCTAATACACGCCAAAACCAACCCAAAAAAGAATTAGGAATGTAAAAACAGGGGCTGCGGCTAACAGTGGCATAAGCGCCTGCCTGGCAAGTGCAAGGTCCTGAGTTCGATTTCTGGTACTGCCAAAAAAAAAGGAATGACAAACAAAAAAATACCCAACCCAATTTCAGAGAACATTTAATCTGCCTTAAAGCAGATGCTCCAAATTCAATTACAATCTTTTTTTTATTTTAAACCTTTATATTAAGAAAGTTTCCTATACTTTTGATCTCTCAAATTATTACTCATTTTTCGGCCTGCCCTCACTACATCTCAACATCTCATTGATTCTGAATATCAATTTTGTTGAGACATTGCTTTCAAATATACCTACACCCAAGTCTCAAAAAACATTCACCAAAGTAAGATCAGGGTTGAAATTTTCAGTGACCCACAAATCTTCAAGAACAAATGGAAGGGACAGGGGAGATGGCTCAGTAGCATAAGCACTTGCCTGGCAAGCGCAAGGGTACGAGTAAAAAGAACAAATGGACTGCTTCAAGTCTCTTTGCAGGCTTCCATTTCTTCCCAAAACAACTAAAATGGGAAGCCTCTTTTCTAAATATCCATCCGTTGAACACCCAACTTTCCAGCTCTTAAAACCCAGAAAGAGTGACTCCTCAAATCAGCGGTCTGCCTCTTTAAAATGCCCAGCCATGTCAGAAAGGACAATTTTCCTAGAACCACGCCAAAGCGTTGAGCAGCATGTGAGATGCGCCCCCAAGATGACCCCCAACGTCCTAGTTTCCTATCTAGATAGAATGGTTGGCTCCTCAGAGGGAGCCAGTGCGGAAGGGGCTGGACTCAAAATTCCTTTCTGAAATAGAAAACGTACAGGCCTTGCATTTCCACCAGTGGGCGCTATAGCCCATTGAGACCCTGCCCCATCCCCCATTTCCTTTTTCCCTCCATTTTCCGTTTTCCTGTTGCCTGGCAACGTAGCAATCAAGGACTTTGCAGTCGCCTAGCAACCGTCTCCCTGGAACATAGAGCAGAGGTAGGAGGGGTGCTCTGATGAAATCTGAACAGAAAAATTGAGACGTCAGAGGTCTCAACCCCCGGATTCTCCTTTCCAAAGACCCCCAACACCCCGCAGTTACGTGGACAACCACCCCTGAAACCCGGTCTCTTTTCTGCACTAGGAACCTTGCCACGCCCCTCCCGGGTCAGTCCCGCCCTCGTTTCGGTCAGGTAACCCAGCCCCTCCCCTTTCCGAGGTTTGCTCCCCGCCTCCTCGGAGAGAGTAAACCAGACCCTGCCCACCTGCTACCAGGAGACCACGCCTCCGTCTACTTCCCGCCCATTCGCTCCCCCGGCCTCGCCCACATTGTCCTTCCGCCACGCCCCTGTCGGCCAATGAATGAGGCCGTTGGCCACACTGCCCCGCCCCCAGCATCTTTAGCGTTGCCCAATAAGGACCACCTGGAGGGTTTAACTGCTTCGCCTCTGAGGCCCAGCATAATACCCCTGGTCTTTTCCCCACTTCACCCCCACCCCCACTTGTTCTGCTCCGCCCTCCACCACCCTCGCCCGGCCCTCAAGTCCACCACGCAACTTCAGTCGTCGCCGGTTACCATGGCAACGGCGACAGCAGCGCGGGGAGAAGGGGGAGGGACGGGGGCGGAGTGGGAGAAAGAGATGCTCAGAGACAGAGACGCTGGCAGAGATATAGGCACCGAGTAAGACTGAGTGATAGCTAGATGTAAAGCAGAGTTTGCGCAAGGAGCCACCACATAATGGACGTTCAATAAATGTTCCTTAAACTACTGCGGTAAGAATCTATAAATATAGACTATGAAAAGATGAAAGGTCGTCAGACAAACCCAGGGAGCTCAACGTCCATGAAATCTAAGCATTCTCCTACTCCATCCACCCAACATTTGGGGGAAGAGGGAACAGAACCCATGTGCCCCCTGCTGGTTCTTCCTAGGCTACCCTTCGCTCCCCTGGATTGCAATGAACTACAATTCCCAAAAGAGCTGAGGGTAGAAATACTCTTATCGTTCAGGGTTTTTGTGCCTTATGGCCTTGTGGGAGTTGAAGTCCTCCCCATCCCACAGCAGACAAGTTTTCCATCCAAGGAATGTGGCAAGGCTGGATCTCCATGCCTCAATAAAACCCCAAATGCATGATTCTCTGTGTAAGTCTCCTTCCTTCAGGGATGCTCAGTCTTGGGTTCCATGGAAGAAGTAGGAATTGGGTATGAATAAGCCCCTTACCCCATTGAGAAGGGCTGCCATGTAAGCAAGACCTTCACCCTTGCTCACATTAAAGTGTTCACGTGTTGGAGCAGAACCTACACATTCCAATGGGCTTTCTACCTACACCTGCACATGGGACCACAGCCAAGAAGCCCAGGCCAAGGAGCAGGCACAAGAGCAGCAGACAAGAAGAGCACACGGGATCTCACAAACATTGAAAGGAACCCAGGCCAGAGAAAGTGAGGCACAAAAATCCACTGAAATTGTAGGAGGCAGGAGGAAGAAACAATCTGGGAGAAAACCCAAATCCCAGAGTGAGGCACAAGCAAGGAGCCCTGGTGGAGAGGGGTTGAGGGATCGGGACCTAAGATTCCTCACACCTCATGCTTCCAGTCATGCTCACACGTGCACAATGCATGTGTACACACATGTGTGAATTTGTGGCAGGGAACATGTGTGTCCTCAGCTCCCTGGAATGAAAAGCTGCAGTTCCCACTAAATATAACCCCCTCCCCAGCCTGTGACTCACCCGGACCCCGCCTCCCCGGCCCCCACTTCCTGTCCCACCCCCCACCCCCCCAGCTGCCTGCTGCCTGCCCAAGTCTCCCTCCACACACCAGGCATCCAGCTTTCCAGTCCCAGAGTCTAGAAGCAAAGACTTAGGTATCTGCATCCCACTAGCAGCTTGCTTGCACTCCCCATCTAAAATCTCCTTTCCAGAAGACAACTACAGACACCCTACGGGGATCTCGGCTGCTGCCCACGCTGCCTTCCACCACCTTTTCGCCCCTGTAGCCTCTTTACCCTGTAACCTGGGTTGTAAGTGCTAAGGGACTCCTATATTCAAGTGTCCTTCCCCACCTTGATCCCAAACATCAGGGCAATATTCCCCAACATCTGTCTTCTCCCTCATTCTTGAGCAGAGCTAGATGCAATGTGGGAGATGGGGATGCCTGGGTCATCCTTAAATTTTACACCACCCACTGCATCCCCTCCTTAAATTTCCTTTCTCCCTAAACCTCTCAGAGGCTGGCAACCTCAGCTGCTGCAACCTTCAAACTCCCATAGGAGTACCCCAAATTCTAACCATACCTGGTACGTTCCCTCAGATGATTCTGTATCATGCTCCAAACCCTCAGACAACTCCCAGCTATCTCCATTCTGTATGACTGAACCCCAAATTAACAGTTCCTTCAAATTGAGAGGACATCCCCAAATGTATCCACCACAAGATACTTGTTCTACATCCTTAAGGCCCACCTCTTCCCTGCCAGCTGACATCCCCAAACCTGTTAAGCACTGGCAACCAATAACCTTTACCCTCATGCCAAGAGCCCCCCACAAAATTAAACGAAGCACCTGGAAGCCTTTCTCCCCAGGTTCTTGGAACCCTCACACACACATAGCCCACCTTCCCACATACACAAGCAAGACTCCCATGTGAGCCAGTATGCTCTTTAAACAAGATGCCCTCAGACATTGCCAGTGAACCCCAAGCCCACTAGGCCCCAAACCATAGAATACCCCAAAATTTCCATTTATCTACAGGTGCAAAGGGATCGCTCCTGGGGGCACCTGTGGCCAAGTCCAGTTTTTTCTGAAATGTGAACCCCAAAACTAAATTAAGACCCCCCAAACACATTTGACTTCTGATACAATCACTTCAGCACCTCTAGCCCCAGATAAGGCCTGGCTGACCCCTCCCCACAAATTCATACCTTCCCTTCAGTTTATAGCCCCCCTATCATGCTTACCTTGGTTGTCACTATACAGAGACAGTCCATGTTGGGGGGCCTGGCCGCGGCGGCGGGTAAGGGGCTCTGACTTCATTGGAGTTTCGTTCCTCCCCTCGGTGGGTTCTCACCCCTCCCCCCTCCGCACCCCACTTTTGCAGGGGGGGCCAGGATGGGGGGAGGGGTGAGAGGGGAAGGAGGGGGTTGGAGAAAGGACGGGGAGGGGAGCGTGGGAGGGAGGGAAAGGGGGCCCTAAAAGGGGCTCCCCAGTGAAGGGGAGGGGGCTTGGGGAGCACACCCCGATTCTCAGGAGGGGCGGGGGCACCGGGGGCTGACAGCCCCGAAGTTCGGGGGCTGGGGCATGAGCTGGGGTGGGGGAGGGGAACTGGATTCTGGGGAGCCCCGGGATAGGGGGGGGTCTTGCCAAACGGCCAGGGGCAAGGGGCCGTGGCGGGGGAGTGGGGTGGGGGGGTTGGAGATGGCAGCGGCCGAGGGAGCCGAGGAGCCGAGGGAAGGGGAGAGAGGAGAGAGGAAGCAGGGGGAGGGAGGGAGGGAGCTAGGAGCCAGAATGGGGGGGTGCCTTGGTGGAGTTAACTCCTTCGGTACTGGCAGGAACCCGGATAATGGGAAAGGAGATAGAAGAAGCAGAGAGGCCCTGAGGCAAACATGGAGGCCTGGCCAGCCTCCAGTAATGACAGCAAAACCCCTGAGGTTGGATTTCATTTCTTAGAGGTGGAAGCACCTACAGTGGAGCTGGGAGCATAAGCACAGTCCTTTAAATACTGAGGGGGAGGGGGCAGTGGGAGGTAGGATGTGAGGCAGGGGCTGGCAAGAGGAAATCCCTGGGGCCCCAGGTCTCCCTCAGGTTTCACTAGAGGAAGCCTGAAAAGTAATTATGTCCTGGATCCTAATGTCTGAAATTGGGGAAGGCAAAGAAAAGGGGAAAGACTGCAAAAGATGCATTCTCTATATCACCAGCTACTAGGACACTGACTCAGGATTTTGTCACCAGGGCTCCCAAGACTCAGTTTAATATTTGTAAGACTTTGCTCACCCCTCCATGCCTTCCAGTTCCCTTAGGAAGCCAGGCACCCACTCATACCTTCTTACCTGACTCTCCGAGATGGACACTTCATAGTAGTCCAGGATGTCTGTCACAGCAACAAAACTGAGTTACCCTCCCCCTGCCCAGTTCCCACAGGTCACCCTTCCCACCTTCTCTGCTGTTTATCTAGTAAGGGAAGAGGTCTCTCAGCCAAGCTGGTTGATGAGGCTAGACAATAACTTAGAAAGATTTTGCATGGTGCTCCTGCTTGGACCAAATACTCTCCAGACTCCCAACCAGCCTGAATGAAGTTCAGTACCTGCCCTTACAGGTCCAGGTCAGCCTTTTCAAAGTGATCTCTCAGAAAACGGGTTACTTACCAAGCAAGGCCTGGAATAGGTCACTGTGCAGCACTGTGAGGAGGGGAGGTGCCCACCTTAATAGTGGGGGGGCCAGGAGCCAGAGGGCTGACCTGGGAGCTGACAAAAATCCAAGTGAGGGAGGACTGAGACCAAGAAGAGACTAACATAATCACCTCAGCTTCCACACACTTTGTCCTTTCACCTCAAACTTTATGGAAAGATTCAAGAATAATCCCCAAGTCTTTGCCCCCACTACATTTCCAGGCCTCCCCTCCACAAAGACCCATTTTTCACCTCTTGGTCTCTGAGACATCGCTTTTGTGTCTCACTTTAATCTCCCTAATCTTCCAGGATTGGAGTTAAGCTGCCTCTCCCCACTCAATTCTAGCTATTAGGTGAAGTATACAGACTCTGAGGGGACAGCCTGTCCCATTCCTCTCTAGGTTCCCCGGCACCGCTGCTACCACCTTGCTCCACACATCCTGGACTCTTTTCCAAAAGGCAGGCATAACACAATTATATTCTCCTGAAGAGATGAAAGAATGTTCACCACAGAGGACCCAGCTGCTCAAAGAGAAAGAAACCTGAGCCCAGCTCTTTCCTACCAGCCCTGACCCCATATAGAAAGAAGGGGATGTATTTCTAGGGACTTGACTCAGATAGAGAATCAGGGAGGATGAAGAGAAGAATTCCTATGGTTCTCAGGCCTAGTAAGAGCTCATCTACCTCAAGGACTAGCTGGGAAGAAGGTCTCTGAAAGAAATAACAGGCCAAAAAACACATTCAGGAAACTCCCAAAGGCATAAAGGAAGAGGTAATGAAGCTGGAGGATCACTCTTACTGTTCACTTCTGAGAGTTAGTGACAATGAGGTCTCAAAAGAATGTGCTTGGGACACATTTCAGCTTGAGTCTGCCGCCATTTTCCTCCCTTTTGTGTTGGCAGAGACAGATTTCATGAAGAACCATCCTTCTATGCCCCTAGCTCTGACATCTACCTTACCCTTCTGTCTTCCCCACCACTTCTGTCTTCCCCACCACTTCCCTTGTAACTCTTAGGAAGTCCTCTCTCCAGCCTATCACCATTCTTCTGGCTGCAGTGGCCTAGGCTCCTCTCTCTTCCTTTCATCCTATTCCACCACTCCTTCAAAAGGCTAGACTCTACTCCAAACAGGTCATATGAAGGGGCCTGGGGCAGACGAGGGATGCATGGAAATCACACTAGGTCAGCCACACTGCAGGGACTGGAGGCAGCCCCGAACTACAGCTCCCAGAGTGCCGTGCCGTCGGGAAGCCCCGCCCACCGCCGCGCGGTGCATTCTAGAGAATGAGTCAGGGCCGGGGAGCTCAGCCTTTGGAAAGGAGGGGAGAGCTAGGACAGCGCAAGGCCACGGCAGCTGGAGCGGCTTGAAGATGCAGGCAGCTTGGATGACCCCGAACGTGAGGCGGCAGCTACTGAGATTAGGGGGCCGAAGGTCTGTACGTGACAGAAAGAACAGGTCAGCGGGCCTGGGGACCCAGTCAGAACTGAATCCCTCCTTCCCACAGGTCTCAGCCCAGTGCTGTTTTCGGGCAGGCCCGGCCCGGCCTTGCCCAGCGACCCTATGCTAGTGGCAGCACGCAGGTAAGTAACCTTAGGAGGGGGCTGGGGTCCCGCCTAGGCCCCACCACCTTTGCAGCCGGTAGGGGTCTCCCTCTCTGTCCCAGTCACCTCTTGACAGCTCTGGCACCGAAAATAGGTGAAAGGGCAAGCCAGGGTGCCCTAGAATGTAAGTAGGGGAAAGGCACCAGGTCCACCCAGCAACTCCCACAGCCAGCTCTTCCACTGCACGTCCCTCGGCACACTGGAAGCGCCCTCCCATCCTGGCTAACCACCCTTTTATTCAGGCGGTTTAGGACAAATAGGACTCTCCGGATGCTTCAACCAAGCTAAACCCAGCCCAGGCAGTTAGTGGTCCTGAAGTTGGGTGGATGTATGCCAAGGTAGACCCACCCAAGCCAACTGTCTGAAACTCTCCTCCCTGCCCAGGAGTCTAAGTCCTTTGCTGTGGGGATGTTCAAAGGCCAACTCACCACTGATCAGGTGTTCCCATACCCGTCCGGTAAGGAAAGGGATAGTCAGCACTGGATGGGAACAGGCCTCCCAATAGCCTTGTCTAACTAGCCTTCCCTCCCTTCACCCCATCAGTGCTCAACGAGGAGCAGACACAGTTTCTCAAAGAGCTGGTGGGGCCTGTGGCCCGTTTCTTTGAGGTGAGGATTGATTGGCATTGTATCTGATGGGGTGGGTGACGTTTAGGAGCGTCAGAAAAAAATAACCTGGATGTGGGGCCTTCTGCCTTCCACAGGAGGTGAATGATCCTGCCAAAAATGACATTCTGGAGCAAGTGGAAGAGACCACTTTGCAAGGTCTTAAGGAGCTTGGGGCCTTTGGTCTGCAAGTGCCCAGTGAGTTGGGCGGTTTGGGCCTCTCTAACACCCAGGTGAGGGGATGTCTTTTTCCTTACTTAGAACATCCCATCTCTAGCTTGGCTCTTGTAGCTCTTCCTCTCCCCAAGGATCATCTTTCCCAGCTGTGTACATAGCCCCTCCCTCCAAACAAAACACAAATCTACATACAACACTGGAGGTCCATACCTTGGATCCCACTGTTTCCCAACTGCCTGATAATAGGGCAGTACAGTCTCCCACCATAACCCAAGATAAGACACCAGCATCTTCTGCTGTGCCCTTTTTATGGTCCTACTTCCCCTCTTCACATTCACTATGTGGATATGGCCCTGGTGAGGCCCTGCCCTCCTGCCTGTAAGTGTAGGTCCCCATGCAGTCAGTTGCATCCCCAGATGCCTGCTTCCCCTCCAGTATGCTCGCTTGGCAGAGATCGTGGGCATGCATGACCTTGGTGTGAGCGTTACCCTGGGGGCTCACCAGAGCATCGGTTTCAAAGGCATCCTGCTCTTTGGCACGAAGGCTCAGAAAGAAAAATATCTCCCCAAAGTGGCATCTGGTAAGGCAATCTTAAACTAATGATTGGGGGTGTCCTGGTGTGGGCAGATTAGAACACTTGGCATTCAGACTGACATATAGCTGGGCACATCACTTAGGGGAAATTGTTGGGAGGCATCAGTGTGTTGGAGGGGAAATCCTAAGAAACTAGATGCGGCCACAGGTACAAGGAAGAACTGCCTGGTGGGTGGGACCTTGATGCTCATCAGGACTCCAAGTAAAAGAGCTCTTTCCTCAACAGGGGAAGCTTTGGCTGCTTTCTGTTTAACAGAGCCCTCAAGTGGCTCAGATGCGGCTTCCATCCGAAGCTCAGCTCTGCCTAGCCCCTGCGGAAAATATTATACCCTTAATGGAAGCAAGATTTGGATCAGGCAATGTTCCATTTCTTTCTTCCCCCCTCAGCCCAGTTGCGAGCCCCACTGAGCCCTCCACACTCTGAACGCCCCCTCATTCTTCCACAGTAATGGGGGCCTGGCAGACATTTTCACAGTCTTTGCCAAGACACCAGTTACAGATGCAGCCACGGGGGCTGTGAAGGAGAAGATGACAGCTTTTGTGGTGGAGAGGAGCTTCGGAGGTGTTACCCAGTGAGTGGATTTAGGGAAGAAGTAGAACAAGGGGTCAGTGCTGGATTCCAGAGCAAGTGATTGTTACAGATTACCCTGGCAGTATATGCAAAAGCCAGAGCAAATAGCATCATATTCCCTTTGGGACATGTTTGGAAGTGGCCCAAAATTTAGGCTGTAGCAATAAAGTCCAACACAGGGCAGCAGGACTTAAGTCAGGCCTCTGTAGCCCATGTGGTATGCTGAAGATTGTTCTCCATATACACTTACAGTCTGCAAGTCGCAGTTCCTTCCTGTAAAAGGAATGGAGGGTCCATTTTTGTCAGTGCCAGCCTGTTCACTCCTTGGCTTTCTTGCCCTGCCCTGTCACAGTGGGCCCCCTGAGAAGAAGATGGGCATCAAAGCCTCCAATACAGCAGAGGTATACTTTGATGGAGTGCAGGTGCCTGCAGAGAATGTGCTAGGCGAGGTGGGGAGTGGCTTCAAGATTGCTGTGAACATCCTCAACAATGGAAGATTTGGCATGGCTGCAACCCTTGCAGGCACCATGAAATCCATCATTGCTAAAGCAGTGAGTACCCTGCCTGAATCCCTAGCTAGCCTGAATGAGTCACAGTGCCCCCCCCAATATATTCCCGTTTCCTTGCAAGCATTCCCTATACTAGAGATCCTTACCCTACCAGCAGCTCCAAGCTTGCTAGTTTAGGTCTCCATCAGTGTGGACTAACCTCTTGGTTGTGGCCATAGTCCATCCCTCCAAACCAAGCCCAGCCCATCTCCTAGGCAGACTGAAACACGTGGTCTTCTTCCAGGTGGATCATGCTACTAATCGTACCCAATTTGGGGACAAAATTCACAACTTTGAGCTGATCCAAGAGAAATTGGCCCGGATGGCTATGCTGCAGTATGTGACTGAGGTGAGGGCCTCCTGCACCCTGCTCCTTTGAGTCCTGTGGTTTTCTTTCCAGTCGAGTCAGACTACAACCCCCAGCAGCACCTGGGGCAGTGGGTCTCCAGCTTTACACCAATGCCCTAGGGGATGCGGGGAGGCATAGTCAGCTCAGCTTCTGAAGGGGAAAAGTGATGCTGTTCTGCTGAAGTACTTCTCATAGATACCAGAAGTTAATTCTATCCCTACCCCACCCCTTACCTTACACCTCTTTCAAGAATTCCAGTACCTGGCAATCCCTATGACTCAGAAGATATTTAGATGTGCCCAACATGACCATAGAGTTAGAAGGTGAATGCAAAGGCCCTGGGAAGGAGGGTGGGCTAAGTCAAATCTCATCTTAGAGATGTGAGTGTAGAGCTAAGTCTGATGTAGCCCTTTTCAATTTTCCTTCCTTTGTCCCAACTATGCCACCTCAGTCAATGGCTTACATGTTGAGTGCCAACATGGACAAGGGATACACAGACTTCCAGGTAGAGGCCGCCATCAGCAAAATCTTTTGCTCGGTGAGGACCCAGGTGTGATTGGAGGGAGAGTCCAGTTTGGGAACTCACCTCCAAAACCAGTCTCATCTAGTATTCTCTCTCTAGGAAGCAGCCTGGAAGGTGACAGATGAATGCATCCAGATCATGGGGGGGATGGGCTTCATGAAGGTACAAGGTGGTCTTCTGCAAGGGATGGCCAGGCAGAGTAGGTAGGTACCTCTCATCAGAGATTTATGATGTGTCTTCCTCTGTGCTAGGAGCCTGGGGTAGAGCGTGTGCTCCGAGATACTAGAATTTTCCGGATCTTTGAGGGGACAAATGACATTCTCCGGTTGTTTGTGGCTCTGCAGGGCTGTATGGTAAGAGGGAGAATTGGGAAGAGGCCATGGGGAGGACAGTGAGTAATGAGTCCTGGTTATTGGACCTTCCTTTCCCACAGGACAAAGGAAAGGAACTCTCTGAGCTTGGCAATGCGCTAAAGAATCCTCTTGGGAATATTAGCCTCCTACTAGGAGAGGCAGGCAAGCAGGTGAAGCGGTAAGCTGCAGTGCGGTAGGAGGCTAAGAGGGCAGGATGGGGGCAAGGAGAGAGGGGGACAGCAAGCAGCAACTGACCAGTCATTGTCTCCCTTTCTTGCAGGCAGGTAGGGCTGAGCAGCGGCCTGAGTCTCAGTGGAGTTGTCCACCCAGAGTTGAGTCGAAGCAGCAAACTGGTGAGTAGTAGGGCAGAGCCTGCAAGGGAAGGGCTCACAGGGATGGTCCCTGAGCCCTACGACTCTTCTTCAGGCAGTGAAGGCTCTGGAGCAGTTTGCCACTGTGGTAGAGGCCAAGCTGATAAAGCACAAGAAAGGGATTGTCAGTGAGTGCCCTTTTTTCCCATGTCCCCCTCACTGTCCCCTCCATCAGACTAACCTCACCCTACCCTATCTACTTGACAGATGAGCAGTTCCTATTGCAGCGTCTGGCAGATGGAGCCATTGACCTCTACACCATGGTGGTGGTTCTTTCCAGGTGAGGAGGTAGCATTGTTTGGAGGCTGAGCCACAGGAGAGCTGGGCCTGGCTCATAGCCCAGGATCATCTTCTCCTCCTGCTTCCTCATACCAGGGCTTCAAGATCCTTGAGTGAGGGCCACCCTGCAGCCCAGCATGAGAAAATTCTCTGTGACAGCTGGTGTATTGAGGTGAGCCTTGGGGCTACTCAGTGTAGGTGGGGGGCTCAAGACACAAGCCTGACCCCCTTCTTCCTTCTCACTAGGCTGCAGCTCGGATCCAGGAGACTATGGCTGCTCTGCAGAATGACCCTCACCAACAGGAGCTCTTCCGTAACTTCAAAAGCATCTCCAAGGCCTTGGTGGAACGAGGTGGCATGGTCACCAGCAACCCCCTTGGCGTCTAAATACTTCTGACCAGTACCTGGCCAGGTTATGTGCCTTCTCTCAAGCCAAAGCCCAGGCCTCCTTCCAGGGGACAGTGGATCCCCCTGAAGGGGGCTTTGTGATCCCAGGACTCTCAGGAGCAGAGAGCATTATTTGTGAGTTATCTCACAAATAATAAAGTTTCTCATAAGTCAAAAACTTTGCTACAATAACTCAGTTCTTCCCATCTGCTGCCTGCCTCCCTCCCCAAGAAAGGAGCCAGAGGTGTGGGAAGTTTGCCTCCATTGCTTTATTTGGTGTTTTATACAAATGACTAAAATAAATAGGATAACAAAGGCAGCTACATAGCCCTCAAATACCAGAAACCCAACTGCTGTCTAGGGTGCCCAGCCCTCTTCCTCCCAAGGTACCACTGACCATCCCCCACACTGCAAAGGACAGACCTGACAGGGCAACTGGAGGTGATCACATTCTGGGTCAGAAGGGGCCCAGGAGACAGGGATTCTTTGTATAAAAGAGGAAATGTCTATCAAAAAATAGCCCCCCAAAATGTAAGAAAGTCTATTTTACCCCCTAAAAAAGGTTTATATAGAAACAGTAAAGCTAAAAGTAACCAAAAATTCCTTATCCACCCCTGAGGGAAGGAGGAGGACCAGGCACTGCTGGTGAAAGTCACAGTGGCAATATCTTATGGTAGGCAGCAACTGCTGAGCCAAGCCCTGCACTTCAAGGAGCAATGAGGGCAACTGGAAGGACAACCAGTCACAGAACAGGAGCACCAAGCTGATACAGGACAGGCCAAGGGTGCAGACCTAATATGGCCCCGTATCAGGTCCTACATAACATCCACAAAGAATTCACTGGGGTTGCCCATGGCCATGTGGAAGCTTTGGCGACTGGCTGTCAGTTCTGGGGGTACAGAGCCCAGGTCTCTCACTGGAGGGGCTCCTGGGGGCTGTACTGCTGGAGGGACAGGAGGTGGGGGTGGGGGCATCATGACCACCATCATGGGGTTATAAGGGAGAGCCATGCCAGGGGGAGGTCCATAGGGATGGAGCCCTGGGTGAGCACGAAGATTTGGAGCACCCCCTGTTGAACCCCTAGATGGGGGAGGACCCCCATCACCACTCCCACCAGGATCCCCACCCCGCCGAAGGCTACCTCCCCGACTGGAGGGCTCAGACTCACTGCCACTGCCAGACTTGGACTCAGGGGCCCGTTCCTCAGGCCTCCCTGTGCGCCCGGCACCCCCATCACTTCTTGTTGACCCACTGCTTCGGCTCCCTGTAAGGATAGATGGGAGGAAGCAATCAGACCTCAGCATGGCATCCTCTGGCTTCCCCAGTCTGCTCCAGCCTCTCCTCCCTGGTTTGCCTCCACTGTGCCCAAAACCCTGGCTGTACTGGTATTTGGGGACAACTTACCCTCGCTGTGCTGGCTGCTGGCACTGCCCCCAGCATAGGTGTATGATGAAAGCTCATGGTAAGGTGGGGGCTGGGGACTGTAGGGGTGTGGGGCAGGGTACTGGTAAGAAAAGGTGGGCAGCAGGGGCCATGGAGTGGCCCCAGGCAGAGGAGCCAATGTGTCTTGGTCTGAAGCCCCACTGGAGCCATCATTGTCATTCAGAGATAGGTTGACAAGGTCTGGAACACAGGGAAGACAATAAATCACTGCTTTTCAGTGCAAAACACTGAATGGAAAGGAACTAGTAACATTTCCCCATAGCTATCTATGATAGGAGTCAAATGGGGTAACAAAGACTTTTGACAGGAAACTGCTACTAGGGCAGAGACACAGCCAGGCTACCAATAACCCACAGGCTTCAGGAAAGGGTGCTCCTTTCTCCACAGGCACAGCTTTGCCCTGGTGCATAGCTTGTTCAGCAGAACTCAGACATTAACTTACCCTTGGTTAAAACAGTGTATACGCTCTCATACAGGACTCAGACTACTCTTCCAACTCCGCAGCCATGGCTACAGTTCATGGGCCAGGTAAGGGGTTAGAGAGGAGGGGATAAGGTAGGCTGAGCTGCTTTCCCAAGGTTGGGAACTTACAGTTCTCACAGCCGCCACTGAGATCCCCGAAGACATAATAGCACTGCTCAGAGAAGGTGATCTTGTTCACAGTATGTCGGATGAGGCCTGCTTTCAGCAGTCCACTGGCGTACTTTCGGGCTTCTCTTCGCTCAGGAAATCCCTCCACATGATGGTAAAGCCAGTCAACCACGTCCGAGCCTGAGATTAGCCATAGGAGAAAGCCTCAAATTCTCCTCCCAAATCCAAACCTCACTTTTGCTTGGCCCATTCCTTGATTTGATTTCCTCCCTCCCTTCCCATGCCACCTGCCCATGGCCCAGGAGTACCCAGAAAGGCGTTTGGAATGGTGATCTTGAGCCACATGCGGTCCCGGACTTCCAGCCCAGACTCTGGAGCTGCCATGGCCTTAGTCACAGATGCCATGTCCATATGGATGGAGAGACCCCGGCTCTCACAGCCTGACAGAAGAGACAATGGGAAATTGGCAATAGGATACTCCCATAGGGGAGATCAGTCCACTGCTGACCAGCACTGGGACTGAGAGCTTACCATCAGGTAGAGAGGATCCAGATGTAATGGTACTCATGGATGAGGAACCTGGATAAGCTGGAAAGGTTCCAGTCAGTGCAGCAGAGTGTGACACCCAGGCAGCAGGGTCAATTGGCTGGATGGGCTCATCTGGGACAGAAAGCCACCAAGACGATCACTTCTCTAAATCAAATACTCTTTCCACCTCTCCCTTCACAATCTCCAACCCAACCCATCCCCCACAGGCAGAGAGCCCAGCCCCACTCCCCAGCTCCCCTGTTCTCTTGGCTTCAGTCTTTCCCTGAGCAACACTCACTTCGGGGGAGAGTGAAGTAGGCCTGGGGAGAGGGATCCCAACACTTGGCTACAGTCAGCACAATGGGACTGTGGGAAAGAGAAGGCAGTCAAAGGGGTAGGGCAAAGAAGCCTCAAAAAGGCCAAGAACAGAATGAATTAACAGTTTTATTTTGTTGTTGTTGTTGTTTGGCTTTTGTTTTTTGCTGTACCAGGGATTGATAGAATGGATTAACAGGAAGAAAGAGCACATACAATTAGGTCTAAGAAAGTGAGAGTGGGGGCTGACAAGATAGCTCAGCAGTCTAAGTGCCTGCCTGGCAAGGGCAAGGACCTGGGTTTGATCCCTGGTACTGCATGCCATGCTAGGACATGCTGTGCCAGCCACTGAAACTAGACATGGTGGTACACGCCTGAGATCCCAGTGCTGGGGAGGCTGAGATAGAAGGATCACTATGAGTCTGAGCTATATAGTAGGATCCTGTGCCAAATAAATAAATAATTTTTAAAAACAAAGTGAAGGTGAAGAACTTCATAATGTGGATGACTCAACATGGGTAACTTCAAACATACTGCTGAAGGGAACAAGGGAATATATCCTGTACAATGCAATTCATAAGCTGCACAAACAGGTAACACTGAACTGTTGTTCCAGAGCTCATGCACGGATGGGAAAAAATATCAAATAAAACAACCGTTAGGTTTTGTTTCACTTTGAGACATGATCTACTCTGTAGTCCACAACGGCCCGGAAATTGCCATCCTTCTGCCCAGCCACCTGAATCCTGGGATTACAGTTGTGCACTACCACACTCAGTGCAAAGATTTCCTGGACCCAAGAAATGAAGCAGGTGATTACCTTTGGGGAAGGAAGTTAGGAATATAAAGGGACCGTCTGAGGGGAAATTGTCCAGGTTACGGGCAATTTTCTGTTTCACAATCTAGACAGTAGTGACTAAGGCAGTCCCTCTAATTACTCACTACATCATGCATTTTTGTTTCACGTACTTTTGTTTTTAAAAAATTTTATTTCTTAAACAGAGCTTACAGCAAAAGTCTGATTAAGCAACATTTTAATTCCAAAGTTCCGTAAGTTTCACATACTTTGAGTGCCACAGCTCATCACTTCGATTTCAAAACAAGGGCCAGAGAGATAGCTCAGCAGCATAAGCACCTGCCTGGCAAGCACAAGGTCCTGAGTTCAATTCCCCAGTACCAAAAAACAAAAAATCAAAACAGGAGGCCCATGGATCTGAGAACAGTTTAGAGGCTCACCCTGGCTTGTGTACAATATCCCTCAGCACCCGCACAGCATCATCATTGCTCATATTCTCGAAATTCATGTCATTCACCTGCAGTGTGAGAAAGAGATTCAGAGGCAGAGTGGGAGAAGCAGACCCCTACCCAAGAGTTCCGCAATCCACCCTGACACACCTGCAAAAGCATGTCCCCTGGCTCAATACGCCCATCAGCTGCGACAGCACCCCCCTTCATGATGGATCCAATGTAGATGCCTCCATCACCACGTTCATTGCTTTGGCCCACAATGGATATGCCCAAGAAGTTATATTTCTCTGTGGAGATAGTCAATGTGAGAAGGGACAATCCCAGCTAAATATCCTCCAGGAATTCTGGAGGCCAGGTCCTCCCTTTCTGTAGCCAGGCCCTTTCATACCCATGTTGAGAGTGACTGTGATGATGTTGAGAGACATTGTGGAATCTGTGACACTGCTGAAGGATGAGGTCTGTGGTAGGAAAGGGAAAAGGAGCTGAACTGCCCTTCTACATTCCAGGGATAAGCCCTGGGCCGCCGTGTCCAAGGCTCACTGGAAGCATGAGAACCCTCTTACCCTCTCCATGCGAGGTGGCCGCTGCTTCCTCCGTCGCCGGTGGCGCTTAAGGAGACGGGAAGCACTGCTCTGCTCTGTAGAGCTGCTGAACCTGATGGGTTAGAAGCAGAGACTTTTTTTTTTTTTTTTTTTTTTTGGCAGAAACAGGGATTGAACTCAGGCCCTTGCGCTTGCCAGGGAAGCACTTTATCCTACTGAGCCATCTCCCCGGCCCTAGAAGCAGACTTTAAAGGCTGAAAGGGTCACTGGGTCAAAGGGAAATAGGAAAAGAGAAAACAGAGGGGGCCCAAAGCCCTGGGAAGAGATCCGTGGGCCTATACCTGCTCATGGTGTCATCCTCGTCTGAGTCTCCCAGGCTGGTACTCTCCAGCTCACTGGTCATGAGGGTAGAGGAGCTCTCGTATCCAGCCAGGTGCCGCTCCAGCCTTGAGGGGCCAC